GTCTGCAGAATTAACACCATGTGGAAGCCCCAAGGCTTATGGCTTTGGGGCAGCAGCAGCCACAGCAATACCTGAGGCCCTTTGAGACTAAGCTGGAGCTAGAGCAGCAGGAATGCAGATCAGTGGTACCCCAGGCCTGGCACACTCTTTCCTTACCTTCCACCTCCTCCAGAAAAAAAAAAAAAAACCATTCTGTCCTCCTAGGCCTGTGACCTTAGTGATTTTTTTTTGTTTTGAGATGGAGTCTCACACTGTCACCCAGGCTGTAGTGCAGTGGTGCAATCTCAGCTCACTGCAATCTTCACCTCCTGGGTTCAATCAATTCTCCTGCCTCAGCCTCCCAAGTAGCTGGGACTAGAGGCGTGTACCACCATGCCAGCTAATATTTGCATTTTTAGTAGAGATGGGGTTTCACCATGTTGGCCAGGCTGGTCTTGAACTTCTGACCTCAGATGATCTGCTACCTCAGCCTCCCAAAGTGCTGGGATTACAGACCTGAGCCACTGTGCTGGCCTGCCCTTAGTGATTTCTAAAATGCTTTCAGGGTCTTTTCACATCCTCTTGACTATTAGCACCTGGATCCCTTTTAGCTATGCTAATTACTTCAAGTGGTTGTTATGTCAAATATAAAAATATATAGCTTGTGAGGAACATCAGCCGAGGAGCCAACATCTCCTTTGAGGAACAGTCACTCCTCTGGCACAGATGGAAAATAACTTGCAATAAATGCAAATATATTTATTTATTTATTTATTTATTTTTGAGACAGTCTCGCTCTGTCACCTAGGCTGGAGTGCAGTGGCACAATCTCGACTCAATGCAACCTCCACCTCCCGGGTTCAAGCGATTCCCCTGCCTCAGCCTCCTGAGTGCTGAGACTACAGGCCCGCGCCACCATGCCTGTCTAATTTTTTATATTTTAGTAGAGACGGGGTTTCACCATGTTGGCCAGGATGGTCAGCCTTCGAGACTCTTGGTGTTCTGGACCCCCTTCCGCTGCTCCAGCCTTGCCATTGACCACTCCCCAGCTTCCACACTCCTGCCAAACAGGCTGCCTTTATAGTGCCTGGTATTTGCCACACTCACCAGCCAACTCTCACTCACCCCTCAAACCTCAGATCAGGCACCAACCACCTTGAAAGCCTTTTCTGTTCCTCTCGACCTGGATCAGGCCCTGCCCCCACCCCGCACCCTCCCCCACCAGAGATCCCTTAGCAGCCCCTCCCCCGATCCATCACAGCCCTGCTTCTGTCTCCTTCTTGCTCAGCTCCTCTGCTAGAATGAGGTCTTGCATCATCTACTTAACTCCACTTTGCTCTCCTGGAAAGGTTTCTCCTCCGGGAATTTGCTCTTTCTCTTGGGGTAAGCATACCAGTCTTGCCTCGAAAAGCATACCAGAAATGCCAACGGCTTGATGTGAGGCACAGCGAGTTTTCAGTATGGGAGTTTGTCCCCTGCAGCCAAACCTCAATTTTACATGGAGGAGGTAGGCTAGACGGTATCACATGATGAGAAAAATCTGTGGGGAAGAATAGCTGACTACAGGAAAACTACGGAAAGCCTCTTTCAAATCTTACAGCTGACTTGGTTTTCATTTTGGAAAGAGTAGGGTGAATGCTTGTTTCAGGGCCCCAGATCTGCTAACATGATGCTTAGATTCAAACTTTTCCTATAAAAAGGAGACTACTGTTTTTGTTTTTGTTTTTTGAGATGGAGTCTCGCTCTGTTGCCAGGCTGGAGTACAGTGGCGTGATCTCGGCTCACTGCAACCTCCGCCTCCCGGGTTCAAGAGATTCTCCTACCTCAGCCTCCCGAGTAGCTGGGACTACAGGTGCCCACTACCATGCCCAGCTAATTTTTTTGTATTTTTAGTAGAGACGGGGTTTCACCATATTGGCCAGTATGGTCTCGATCTCTTGACCTCGTGATCTGCCCGCCTCAGCCTCCCAAAGTGCTGAGATTATAGGCGTGAGCCACCGCGCCTGGCCGGACTACTGTTATAAGTGTTTTTTTTTTTTTGTTTTTTTTTTAATAAGTGTCCTTTGAATCCTCAGCACATGCCATCTTCTCTCCAAGCCAGGAGCCTGCAGACACAGCCATGTGGCAGGAAGGCCCTGCCCTGACAGCCTTCACCAAGCCCAACCCACCTTGGCAGCTGTCAAGGGAGAGGCTGTGGAACAGAAACCACAGTCCTGCATCAGTTGGCCTGTTTGCATCTATAAAATGGACACAGGGGTGGAGGGGGGTTAGTGCCAGTTGCCAATGCCAATTGCCAGAATCTAGGAACTGTTAGCCCTCCCTCCTTCAATTACTAAAGAAAAGTTCATTTAGAAAAGACAAAGGAAGGCCGGGCGCCGTGGCTCAAGCCTGTAATCCCAGCACTTTGGGAGGCCAAGGCGGGTGGATCACGAGGTCGAGAGATCGAGACCATCCTGGTCAACATGGTGAAACTGGTCTCTACTAAAAATACAAAAAACTAGCTGGGCGTGGTGGCGCGTGCCTGTAATCCCAGCTACTCAGGAGGCTGAGGCAGGAGAATTGCCTGAACCCAGGAGGCGGAGGTTGCGGTGAGCCGAGATCGCGCCATTGCACTCCAGCCTGGGTAACAAGAGCAAAACTCCGTCTCAAAAAAAAAAAAAAAAAAAGACAAAGGAAGGCCGGGTGCGGTGGCTCATACCTATAATCCCAGCACTTTGGGAGGCCGAAGTGGGCAGATCACCTGAGGTCAGGAGTTCGAGACCAGCCTGGCCAACATGGTGAAACTCCGTTTCTACCAAAAATGCAAAAATTAGCTGGGCGTGGTAGCACATGCCTATAATCCCATCTACTCAGGAGGCTGAGGCAGAGGGAATCACTTGAACCTGGGAGGCAGAGGTTGCAGTGAGCTGAGATCACACCATTGCACTCCACCCTGGGCAACAGAGCGAGACTCTGTCTCAAAAAAAAAAAAAAAAAAAAAAGACAAAGGAAATGCTCTATTACACTGTAAATACGTTTAACGTGTAGTTCCTGGAGACATGGGACAGGCTGAAAACAGCAAGAGGGTTTGGATCATTTCATGGTTGAGAAGACCCTCATGGGTTATTAAAGGAAGGCAGTGTGGGCCAGGAACAGAGTCTCATGTCTGTAATCCCAGCACTTTGGGAGGCCGAAGTGGGAAGATGACTTGAACCCAGGAGTTCGAGGCCAGCCTAGGCAACATAGAGACCCTGTCTGTACAGACACACACAAAAAAATAGCTGGGCATAGTAACATGTGCCTGTAGTCCCAGCTACTTGGGAGGCTGAGGTAGGAGGATCACTCACTGGAGCCCAGGTGTTTGAGGATGCAGTGAGCTGTGATCATGCTACTGCACTCCAGCCTGGATTAAGAGGGAGACCCCATCTCCTTTTTTTTTTTTTTTTAAAGATGGGGTTTCACCATGTTGGTCAGGCTGGTCTTGAACTCCCGACCTCAGGTGATCCGCCCACCTTGGCCTCCAAAGTGCTTGGATTACAGGCGTGAGCCACTACGCCCGGCTTAGACCCCATCTCAAAAATAAAAAATAAAGGGAGGTAGGAAAGTTTTGAGCACAGAGGCAAACAGGCCCACCAGGCAGAGATGGAAACCTGGATGGATGGGCTCAGGGTGGCGTTTCTGGTTAGTGGTGACTGTTTCTCTCTGGTGTTCACGGACTGGGATGAGAGGGCTAGGGAAGATGACGGTCCATTGCAAGGGCTACCCAAGCCTCCAGGGATACAGTGCTGTTTTTAGAATGCACTGTTCTGTAAGGCAGCATCGGTCTGTAGCCAGCAACTGCTTTTCTGGCCTTTCAGGCTGAGTCAAGCCTCCTGTAGTCTATTAAATTCATGCCATTTCTGAAAGGGAGCAATTTTACAAGCTACAATTTATGCATTAAACTTAACTTTTTAAAAAGAATTTTACCATATATATATATATATATTGGGATAGGGTCTCATTCTAGCCCACGCTGGAGTACAGTGGAATGCTTTATAGCTCACTGCAGCCTCTAACTCCCTGGCTCAAGTGATCCTCCCACCCCAGCCTCCCTAGTAGCTGGGACTACAGACCTGCATCACTAGACCTGGCTAATTTTTGTGTATATTTGTAGAGATGGGGTCTTCTATATTGCCCAGGCTGTTCTAGAATTCCTGGGCTCAAGGGATCCTCCCACCTCGACCTCCCAAAGTGATGAAATTACAAGCATGAGCCTCCTCACCAGGCCTCAACTTAATTTTTTAAATACTGCTGAGTGGGCTTGGTGGCTCATGTCTGTAATCCCAGCACTTTGGGAGGCTGAAGCAGGTGGATCACCTGAGGTTAGGAATTCAAGACCAACCTGGCCAACATGGCGAAACCCCGTCTCTACTACAAATACAAAAATTAGCCAGGTGTGATGGTGCATGCCCATAATCCCAGCTACTTGGGAGGCTGAGGCAGGAGAATCCCTTGAACCCAGGAGGCAGAGGTTGCAGTGAGCCGAGATCGCGCCACTGCACTCCAGCCTGGGTGACAGAGTGAGACTCCATCTCAAATAAATAAATAAATAAATGCTGCTGAAGAAAGCCCTATCTTGGGGGGGGGGAAGTGCCCATGGGTGTGTCTCATTAGAGGCCACAAATCAAGGTAAATTACATGACTCACCATGGAAATATCAGAAATGTAAATTTGGAAACTCACCTTTTACTTCCTCCCCCCAGGCCCCTATATGACAACTCTTCGAGGATGAGGCTGGTGCCTGAGGCCAGACCATCGAAGAGCTCATGTGAATTGTGTGGTAAATTGTGTGTTTATCTTCAGAACCAAGGTGGAAGCAGCTTCTTCCAAGACGGCTCCGGCCATTTGGGCCATTTGTTCTGACAAGGAGCCCCCCCCCCCATCCTGCAGATCACCGCCCTGGTGATCTACCTGGGTTGGTGACCTCTACCCTGCAAACATACGCAGCTTCTTCCTCTGTGGTTAATAAGGGAGTTGGGGAAGGCACGGAAAGGACAGCTTTGTCGTGTGAAAGGAAAACATATTCCACTTTAATATACATAAGAAATCACCTGTGATACATGCGAAAAGGTACCAGTAAGGCCTGGTCGTCTCAGGAGAGGGTTGTCAGAGACTGACTCTACACGCACCCCAAGACCCATTATTAATGGCCGAGACAGGCCGGCAGAGTTAGGCGTTTTCTCTGCATTGGTGGTTTACAATCTTAACTCATTCTTCCAGCAAATGTTTCCTAAGAAAGCCAGCGGTTCTGCCTGCCCACTCTCCCAAGCAGGACCACGCTTCCTGCTCCCAGCTCCTTAGTCACGTAACTTTGGAACTCGGAGCCAGGCCGGCTTGGTCCTTCGCTCTCTCTTGGTGAGGAAGGTACCCAAGTCCCCGGGTCCTCTAGGCCGGTGGTTACCGGAGACCTGGGACAAGTACCTGAGTTGGACCCCGACGCGGTCTGTTCCTTGCAGGCCCAAGCAGCGTCCAAGGCGCCGCTCCTTCAGTGGAACCCGGGACAACCCAGGACCGAGGGAGGCATCGCCACAGCGTCGCGGCCCCTTCTAGCTCTCCAGTCTCTGTCCCGGTCAACGGTCCTTGAATGAGGGGAACAGATGGCGGAAAAGGCCATGCATTAGCGCCACCCGGCTGCCCGCGGCGTCCTTCTCCTTGGTCCGCGGCGTCGCCGCTCTCCTGCTTGTCTCCACCACCGTCGCGCCCACTGCGCTCGCGGTGCATCTCGTACTCCACGCCGCGCTGCCGCTGCTGTTGTTGTTGAGGTTTCGCCCGCTGCCGCGCTCCAGCTCCCATTCCTCGGCTCCCGACAGCTCCCGCAAAGTCCAGGGAGCGTCGGGTCGCAGGTAGTGGCAGGCCCGGTGGCCGCTGTGGTCGCGGCGCGTAGCGTCAGCGCCCAGGGCGCCCACCAGCACCTTGATGACCATGTCGTGGCCCTGCAGGGCCGCCAAGTGGAGGGGCGTGAGGCCGCCGCTGCCTGGGGCGCTCACGTCGAGCCGCAGCCCCCGGCTTAGGGCGAAGTCGTGAACCAGAATGAGCTCCTCGTGGCGCCCGTGCTTGGCCAGCCAGTGCAGAACCGAGTAGCCGGTGATCGGGTCGCCCCTCAGCAGCAGCTCCGGCTCAGCCTCCAGCAGCTCCCGCAGCACCTCATAGCGGCCCTCGGCGGCCGCCAGAATCCACGCGTGCTCCCGCGGCTCCAGGCACAGCCTGCTGCTCCCCTGCCCGCTCGGCGCGCCCGGCCCGCCCAGTTCCTCGGCGCGCTCCTCCGACAGCCACCCCGCAGGAGCCGCCCGCTGCAGCCCCAGCAGCTCCCGCAGCGCTCCCCGCCGGCGCCCCGAGCCCAATCCAGAGTGCACCAGCGTGCCTAGGAAGCGGGGCTCCCGGGAGGCGGCGGCTGTGGCGCTGCCCCAGTACCTGCCCAGGCTACCGGTGTCCGCTCCCGAGAGGCGGGGCTGCAGGGCGCACCGCAGGCTCCGCGCGGTCGGCGCAAGAGAGGCCGTGGGTGCCTGGTTCGCGGCCCCTCCGGGCTGGGCCATGGTCTTGCAGCTGCAGCCGCGGCAGCCACAGTGTCCAGCGTTCGCTGCCCTTCCCGGGCCCCAAACGGAGAGGAACTGGCGCTGGCGTTGGGGAAGGAAGCGGCTTGAGCAATTGGGTTCAGAGGGAGGGAGCAAAGGAGAGGACGAGGAGGAGGAGGAGAAGGAGGAGGAGGGAGGGAGCTAGGGGAGGGCCCCAGCGCAGGCCTTGGGGGGCGTGGAGGGGTGTGAGCTCCAGCCAAGCCTCCAGGGCCAGCCCAGCTTCAGCGCCCGCCCGGAGTACCGCCGCCTCCGCAACTACCCCGGGTCTCGGGCGGCCCCACCCCAAACGGCCAGGTGAGCTCGGCAGCCCCGCCTCCAGCACCGAGGGGCGGGCGCGGGGACCAGCTGGGAGCTGGCCTGCGGCCCTCGAGGCCCTGGTTCTCAGCATCCCAGCAGCTGCTAGGGTGAAGAGGCTCGATGGCGCCCCTCTGCAGCGGGCCGAGCTCAGCTTCCAGCCGCGGCCTCCCAAAGCGTGGTGCTGGAACTCGGAGGCTCTGGCTCCCCGCCCCCTTCTTTCGCCCTTCCCTCTTATCTCTTCAGGAGTCTCCCTGCACTTTGTCCCCGAGTCGCCTTTGTCCCGCGCCTAGCATTCACGCAGGCAGCTCGGCTGCCCCATGTGACTGGCTCGTCTGCCTGCCTTGCCCTTTGTGTGGCCTTGACCCTCCCCGTAGCGCCCAGGGCTGCCCAGGATTCCAGCAGAGAAGCCAAAGACCAGGGTTCAGGCTGAAGCTCTTCCTAGGAACTGCACCGCCCTCTCTGTTCTGCTCTCAACCCCCTTCCCTTCCGTCAGTTTTCCCTAGTTGGCTTGGAGAAGCAGCTACAGGTGAATCTGAGCCGGCACCGCTGGAGCGCCCTGTTCTCTCTCTCTCTTTTTAAAAATATTTTATTGCGTTTTAGATTTTGGGGTACATGTGAAGAACATGCGGGATTGTTGCATACGTACATACGTGGTTTGCTGCCTTCCTCCCCATCACCTATATCTGGCATTTCTCCCCATGTTATCCCTCCCCAACTCCCCACTTCCCGCTGTCACTCCTCTAGTCCCCCCCCCGCCACAGATCCCAGTGTGTGATGTTCCCCTCCCTGTGTCCATGTGTTCTCATTGTTCAAGGCCCGCCTATGAGTGAGAGAACATGTGGTGTTTGATTTTCTGTTCTTGTGTCAGTTTGCTGAGAATGATGGTTTCCAGGTTCATTCATGTCCCTTCAAAGGACACGAACTCATAGTTTTTTATGGCTGCATAGTATTCCATGGTGTATATGTGCCACATTTTCCCTGTCCAGTCTATTATCAATGGGCATTAGGGTTGTTCCAAGTCTTGGATGCATCTCTTCTGTCTCTCCAGATCCCTGCTTCCTGCAAATTCAAAGTTTAGGGGCTTTTTAAAAAAGGATATTTAGCTGGGCGCGGTGGCTTACGCCTGTAATCTCAGCACTTTAGGATTCCGAGGCGGGTGGATCACAAGGTCAGGAGTTCGAGACCAGCCTGACCAACAAGGTGAAACCCCATTTCTACTAAAAACACACACAAAAATAGCTGGGCATGGTGACGCCCCTGCACTCCAGCCTGGGCGACAGAGTGAGACTCTGTCTCAAAAAAAAAATAATAATAAAAAATAATAAGACACTTTTTCTTTTTTGCTCCTAACAGGAGTGTACTCTTCGCTCTTCCCTTCTCTTTGTAAAGGGTAGTTCTTGGCTCCACACCCCCACCATGTTAAGGCATTCAGTCAGTGAGCACCAGGGAGCCACAGAAGATTCTTGAGCTAGGGAGAGACACAGCCATGATGGAGATTGTGTTACAAAGGTGGTTTGGGAGATTCGGAGGCAGGAAGTCAGAAGACTGTTGCAGCAGTCTAGGCCAAGGGGGATGGAGGCTCAGGCAACTCAGCCCACTCCCCCAGGGCCACCTGTGCAGCAGTGACAGAAGGTGTCGGAAGCTTTTCTTCCTTGGCCCTCACGTGTTTGGACAAGCCCTAAATAGCTTGAGCTTTCCTTCAGGACAGCTTATGCATTTGTAATTTGGTTTTTGAACATTTACTATGTGCCAGGCACTGCGCTCGTTGCATTATATACGTTAACTCTTTTCATCCTTCCAGTGACCTCAGGTGCTAGGAATCATTTCTGTCCCCAGTTTGCAGAGAGGTTAGGCTACTTGCTCAAGGTCACCCAGCAGGAAGTGGCAGAGCAGGTCTGTGCGACACCATAGCCTTTGTTCTGGCACACAGGAACTGGCATTCAAGCCTGACTTATCAACTGCAAATCACATACAAGCCCCAAATTCCAGCCAAACGGATAGACTTGTAACCTGAGCGTATCTATAATTTACACTCCTCTGCCTGGAACAGCTTCTATGTAGTGAAGTCCTTTTCTTTCAGGGTTGCACTTAGTTTCCACCTCCAGCAAGTCTCCTCTGATGACCCCAGCCCAAAGTCATCCCTTTCTTTCCCCAACCTGTGTTTCTGCTACTTCTTTGTCACCCAGGATAGACTGCCTGTGCGACATCTCTCTCCCCTTCCTCTCACACGCCAATTACACTATAAACTCTTGAACATCTATGTCACACTATCCTTGCGCACATAGTAGTTACCCAAGAAATATTTCTTACCCTGTTCTGGTTTGGCAGCCTGGGAAAACGTGATTGTGTGTATATTGGGGGCAGGGGACGAGTATTCACAGCCAGCTCCTCCATGCCTGTTCCCACATCCCCGCCCCAGACTCCAATCTACAGGACACCAAAAGCAACTCATAGATTGGGTCAACTCATTTTTTTTTTTTAAACGGGATTTTTCTTCACTGAGTTGACTGGTCTCACAGACAAGCCCTAGGCCCTAAATGGGCCCCAAGCTTTCAGGGTTTCATTTTCAAAATGAATCCTGACTGACAAGAAGCTACTTCCGTTGCTCTGGAGACTCCCCTCCGCAACCCCAAATCTGTAAACACCAAACCACATGCATGCACTCACACTTCCAGAATATGCAAACAGCTGCAGCAGTACTTTTTTTTTTGAAGTCAAAATGCCAGCATGGAGAACGAAGGGTGGAAGAATGCTTGGACTATTAATTTTCCTCACCACTAAGCAGGCAACTCTCTTCCCTATCAGCATGAATAATATCTGTGTTTCCAGTTCAAAGATTGCAAAGGCAGCTGCCTGACCAGTGCCACAGACCCATGATACATGTGCCCTTACTTAATTCTTCGGCTAGAGACCAAAGCCACGGTGCCTCCCTAGCAACTTGTTTCATCTTTAATTAGCAAGAGCTTTCACCAGCTGCACACACCACTCCCAGAACCACAACACCCATCTCTGTTTTCAGTAGAGAGGGTCTCTGGAATTTGATACCAGGGAATAGGGTAGAGGGAGTGGAAAGCAGAAGGGATAGTACCTACTCACCTAAAATTAATATGCCAGTTATCTGAAACATCTGCTAACCCTCCAAGGGAGTGGGGCAAAAAACCCTCAAGCCCCGGGCAATGACTTCCCAAGGAGCTGGAGGCACAGTGGACATTTGCATTGTAAATTGTAACAATACCTGGTGTCTTTTCCAAATAGCAGCCTCCCTAATAAATTTACGGGTTTATTTACTAGATCTTGGACTATTAGAACTAGAAGAGATCTTAATGTTTCACTGGCCTTTATTTTCCAGATGACGTTTAACTAACTCAGGGAGCACGGCAGAAGGCAGAGCATCAGATAAGCTGATGTGTTACGCGTACGTTGAAAATCTGTCTTAGCTGGGCGCAGTGGCTCACGCCTGTAATCCCAGCACTTTGGGAGGCTGAGGCGGGCAGATCACCTGAGATCGGGAGTTTGAGACCAGCTTGACCAACATGGAGAAACTGCATATCTACTGAAAATACAAAAATAGCTAGGCGTGCTGGCGCACGCCTGTAATCCCAGCTTTTCGGGAGGCTGAGGCAGGAGAATCGCTGGAATCCTGGAGGCGGAGGTTGCGGTGAGCCAAGATCGTGCTATCGCATTCCAGCCTGGGCCGAAAGGGAGAAAATCCATCTCCAAAAAAAAAAAAAAAGAGAAAATAAAATTTATCTTGATGAAGAGAGAGCAGCTCAGAAATCTTAGGGGAAGTCAGCGGGAAATCATAGTTGATCTGGAAAAATTTAATTTACACACAACTTCTCAGGAATATGCCCCTTGGGTGAAGCCAAAGGCTCCTGTATTCTTGGGCTCTCAGTGGAGTTTGCCGTGGGGGCTTATGGATTCACAGAAATCCATGAGCGCAAAACAGTTGAGAGGCAGATGTGTGGAATATGGGAAGTAAAGTTCCGCAGGTGTCCCTAACCCTCAGTCATGGAGGGAATGGGGAACAACATTCTTTTTTTTTTTTTTTTTTTTTTGACAGAGTCTCCATCTGTTGCCTCTGCTGGAGTGCAGTGTGATGTGATTTCGGCTCACTGCAACCTGCCTCCCAGGTTCAAGCAATTCTCATGCCTCAGCCTCCCAAGTAGCTGGGGTTACAGATGTGCACCAGCATGTCCAGCTAATTTTTTTTTTCTCTCCCCTCCCCTCCAATTTTGTATTTTTAGTAGAGATGGGGTTTTACCACGTTGGCCAGGCTGGTCTTGAACTCCTGGCCCCAAGTGATCCACCTACCTTGGCGCCTCCCAAAGTGCTGGGATTACAGGCGTGAGCCGCCACACCCGGCTGGAACATTCTTGAGGTTCCAGATATAGAATGTAAATTTCCTTTCCTCTGAAAACCTCTGCTGATATCATCATGATTCTCAATGAGAAAGCCATGAGAGAGAGAGAGAGCGTGCCTTTCTGTTCGTGTGTGAATACATGTGCAAGAATGGATGTTTGAGTGGTATGTATGTGTGCCAGACATCACTGTCTCTGGTTGTGTGTATCACCTATATGTCTGTGTGTGTGTGCACTCCAGACATCACTTTCCTCTTCCCAAGTGTCAGACCTTTACACGAGATCTCATTTTGAATCCCTTTTCCTTAGACTATGGAACAAGTCATATTTGGTAAACAATTTTAAAAAATTATTTCCCAGTAGTTTGGAAGTACCCCACCCCCCCCACCACAATCCTGCAGTAAGACCTGATGTATCCAACTAAAGAAAGAATT